CTACAGCTAGTGGGCATTGGCTATTCATCGGCAGCATTTTTACAATGTGATCACCATGTACATTTATTTATAACATCTCTCTCCATCAGTAAATTACCTTTAATCTCGACATTCTACATGTATAATCTGTTCACAAATAGGTTATTTCTGGCCAGCTTATTTTTCATTGTCAAAACTCATCAAACTGACAGTGCCACCTTGTAATTTTCTGACAATATTGGAACACCGAAAGACTTGAGCTAAGAAAAATTGTATAGAGGAGAATGTTTATAAATTATTTTGCATGCACAATGTACTTGTTTGTCTCGTGATCTTATCAAATTTTCACTTTCACTGATGGGGGGCTTCATGACAACTGGTACGGGCTGCACAAAGTTTTTGTGTCATGTATTCTCACGCAGTTTTGTATTGTTCTGTACAGGTTTTTAAACAATTTTTGGGCAGAAATTCATCGTAATGTTAGTGCAACACAAATGTACAATTTTCCATAGAGGTTCTGATTTGGATAGAGTCATTTACAAGACCGCACCTAAAATTGCAAATCCATGGAAATGGTTGTGGATGGAATACACCATGGACGGGTGGACAGTAAGGCAATACAGTCTGTGCCCGGAAAATCCAAAATCCTGAACATGCGGATTGAAATTTTGAAAATGGAGCCAGACTGGGTGGGAAAAGTGCCAACTCACTCTACAAACCTTGACATTTACAATTTTGGTAAACCTATTATTAGTTCATTTTAACCTTCAGGAATTTCAGACCAATATGTAACAATAAGAAGAAACAGTTAAATTAAAATGTGCATTGCCTAAACTGCAAGGGAAAAAAGACAAATAGTTGCAATAAGAGGTTGTAAAATGCATTACAAAGCCTCTATATTTCAAGATGTGGGCATCCTTAAAGAGGAAAGGATATCAGCCTACATGTAAGTACATGTAACTAAGTGCATGAAGGCAACACACTAATTCTGCACTCCTGCGTGCATTTTAATTCTTATTTCTTGCATCAAATACGGTACCGGTAGGTGAAAAGATTTTCCCATGCACAAAGAAAAACATGTCATAAAATGTAATTTTAAGCCAGGGTTACAGGTCTCACGTGATCTGAAAAGGAAATCTCTCTGAAAGCATTGACGCGCATGTACGAATGTATGTATAATGTATGCATGGGTGTGTGTACATGTGCATGGTTGGCTTGCGAGTGCATATAACCAACATCCTGTGCAAAAACAGCCAGCACTGAAAAGTTCCCAGTTAAAACCCTGGTGCAGCGTACATGGAGACTGAAATCTCATATGATTATTTTCGTGTAAATGGTTCCCTCTGTAATGATGAAATAAAATTGGCTAATGATAACCCAGCGATGGGACCATGCCCTTGATGCTGGTCCCAAATGGTCAGCTACATAGTCCAAACCATCCATCGTTCGGGAGGTGTTAGTCGAACTACAGTTAACTATACATGTAGTTGTCACTTAAACTTGCCCTCTATTTTCCAGTTGGTCTATCACTGAACCTATAGCATAACTCAGGACTGGGCATCAATTCATCTCAGTTCTCACACACTGTTTTACTGTCCAGTTCCCATGCTTCTTCCTTGGCAAAGCTCTAAGCCCAGGCTGTTGACAAGTTGTTTAAACAGCAAACTGAGGAGCTGATGGGCACCAGTTTTAACCCTTAAAATTTGTGCTTCCCCAGTGAAAAAAGTGCCTCACTAGTTTAAAAATATCTTCAAGGATGAAATGAACACCATGAAACAGGTTTTGTAACATAATTTTCAACCTGTTCTATGGCTTTGTAAAGGCCCAGTAAGCTACTGAGTACTAATGACACATTGAGTGTTCTGCAGGTGGGGCTTTGCATTTTCATCAATTGCTGTTTTGATAGTATTGGGACATTTGGCAACAGCAAATACCTGATGAGCGCTTAATACAGAGACTCCCAAATGTTCTTAACCACTTCATGCCGGGGCATTTTTCAATGTTGATGATGCTGGGCCGGCATGACTATCGTTTTTTCCGTTTTCAAAATCCTTAAAAAATTCATCATTTTATTTATCGGTCGTTTATAGCCACACAAAGTAATCTT